TATAATTTGATATATATTTATTATGTCTATCTCTTTTAATTTAAAAGAGGGTGGCCACTTTTAGTGGGACACCCTGTATTAGATATATAGATATATATATAAATTATGTTTCACTGTCTTTATATTTATGATTATATTCCATGTATGATGAATTAATGTAAATAAAAATGAGATTAAGTAAATGAGATCTTGATTTGACTTGCAGATTCCATCTTTTCAATTAAAATATAATAATAATTTTAGACATTAAAATATAATAGCTATATAAGCCCAGAGCCAGGTATTAGTTGCTCAGTAAAGTGTATTTAAAAAATCAGTTACAACAGACGTTTCGGCCCATTTGTTATGGCCATCTTCAATGAGAGATACAAAGTAAATGGAACGTTAGTAAAACATAAAAAATGTACGCATGAGACGCAAAGTTGTCGGAGGAAGGCAAAAATCAATCAGTTTCAAAAAATTGTGCATATATGCACAATTATTGTCTATAGACATTTCTTTCATTAATAATTTTAGACATGTAATTTTTTATTGTAAATTGTATTTTTTTTATAAATTAAAAATCTACACTTAATCATGTAAAGTATAACAAATTTGCGCAACACTCTACATTTCTCATTATATTATTATTATATTTTGTAATTAAAAATAAAAATAATTAAAAATCTAAACTACACATTTAAATAATTGTCCAAACATTTGAATAAAAGAAACAAATATTTCTCTCTCGTGAATAACATAAAGTTATTTTTAGAAATATTGTTAAACAGGATAATCTTGTATTTCTAGACATATGTAGAACAAATATCTACAATTAATGTTCTAAAGAAAAAGAAGTAAAAATAACGTCATCAAATATGTTTTAAATACACAGTATATCACGTTAATATTTAGAAGAAAAAAGAATTTCATTTTTCCTAATATTGTATCAAGATTTATTGTATAATATATCGCGCAATATCGTTATTGTTTATAATGCGATTAAAATAAACGTACATCACCAGTAAAATTATGATGCGTAAATCATTATAATTATCGTTAAATCATTATATTAAAATAATGCATGTGTTGCAACGAAATGTATAAAAGCGTCATATCTGCAGCTTTTTAAATCAACATATTGTGATTTTCGAGAGTATTACGATGACAAAACAGCTATTCATTTTGTTAATCGTGATCACAGAAGGAGTATACAAGCCGTGAAACGACGCTTGACAGTTTACGACGAGCCAAGTAAGAGCACAAGCGAAAAGAGACGCAAGTTCCGTTTCCCATGTGCGTCACATACCATCGTGTACGGCGTACGCGGCACACAACAATCAACAGGTATGCGACATACGCGTGAGTGAATGGACGTGAGGGGGGAGGGGGAGTCGCAGGGGTTTGACTCAGGACAGAGAGAAACATACAACGCTCTATGCCAGTGAAATTTGAATAATTTCCCTTCAATCGGCGATTCCTGGCATGCGCGACCGAATAACATAGATTCAAGGGGGACAAATTAAATAAAAGAGGCGGGCCACTCCTCCGTCAGTCGCAGTTCGATTGCCGATCATCGCTCGCTCGCACGGGTGGACGATCGATCGTCTTTGTTAACACGCGGTATCGCGAGAACGGTGAACGGAAGCTACAAAAAAAGGGAAAAGAAGACAATCGATCGGTTCGAAGAACTTACTGTGCAACTGTCAAAGAAAAGAAGAGGATTCCGTCATGCGACTGATAGTATCAATAGGCGCGATCGTTCTGTTGCTTGGATCTTGCGCGGCCGATCAGGACTTCCTGACAAACTCCTTCAATGAGTGTGTAAAGGCGGAGTCTTGGACGTCCTGCCTGAAGCATCAAGTTTTGGACTACCTCGATGATCAGCTGGGAACGACCACAGAAGCGAGGTCGCTTGAAACTATTGATGAAGCGATTATCGCCAGGACCTTCAAATATTTGAAAAGTTTCGATTATGGGGTGACTTTACCCTTTGTCGACGCCAACTTGAAATATAGACCCAGCAGGAGTTTAGCCGATCTCGATATCGAATTCAAGGATAACGATGTGGCAACTAGCCAAGCTCGAGGACTTCTCAAGAAAAAACTCTTGCTGCCCTTCTTGCTGCTATTGAAATTGAAAATGAAAGCTCTCATGCCTATCTTGGTCGCCATTATTGGATTAAAAGCGCTAAAGGCTCTTGTCCTGTCAAAGCTCGCTCTTCTTGTCGTGATTGGATTCGTCGCTATGCAATTCTTTAAAAAGAACGGTATGACGCCGATGGGTACGTATAATTAAATCCACATTTAACGTAGACAAAGCTGCGTAATTTTCTATATCCCTTTTCCGTGCAGCACTCAATAAAGCATTAATATTTAATTCTGAAATAATAAACAGTAATTACAGGTAGTAGGCGTGTAATGATTACAATTTCTAAATTAATTTTACTTTTTCCACTTTTGTTTTACACAAGTTAACTTTTATTTTTTATTATATAATAAATTAAATATAATTAATTAAAGAAAAGCAAAAATTACATTTCTATTCATTGAATTAACAAATTCTATTTATAGAATATCGTCGAGTCATTTGTCAATTTCTGATCGATTTCAGAATTAAATATTAATGCTTCGTTGGTTGCTGTACGGAAAAAGATTTTATATTTTGCAATGTTAAACTTTCGATTGAGTGTATAAAAAATGAAATTTCTTCGATCGTAGGAATGACCATGGAACCGGTATCGGCATACGGCGCTCCACCCTTGGCCTCGACGACGTCGAGTTATGATCCCGCCAACACGTGGGACGGCAACGGACCGTACTCTCGCGTTTGGACGCCAACCAATGGTGTGGAGGCCCAAAATCTTGCTTACAGTTATTACGCGCCCGGCAGCTCGAGTTCATATAGCTCGGTAGGCTCTTCTTCATCATCCTCGTCTTCAAGCGGCTCGACTAATTACAACTAAAGTCGTTCTGACGCCCCTCTAACGACGCATCGATCGCCCGATGTTGCCGTCGATCGCGGATTTGCGATCGCGCGTATCGGCAAATAAAACACGACCAAAGAAACGCACACCAAATAAACACGAAATAGCTCGCGATCGATGCTGACGAGATGTTAGTTTCGTTAACGAGAGCCCCAAGAGCATTCAAAGCATTTAAAGACTGTCGACTTTGCGTCGACTATAACAATTGTGAAATTGTTTTGTCGGTTTATTAGCAAAACTTGCATTGAGCTCGATGTCGGATTCATTAACTTATCGAGGAATTAATGGCGTTAATTACATTTTCGATAGCATTTAAGAATCCGAAATGTTTTCTTTGATCAGCGAGTAAAATTAAATTGAATTAAATTATCGCTAAAATCGACAAAGCTATTTGCCATTTCCCTTTGAATGTGCCACGTGCGCGCCGAAGAATGATTAGCCATCATAAAAAATATACTGATCGCGATAGTCACGAGGATCGTTATATATAATATATGGATATGCATATATTGCCGAATATATTCGCGAGACAATATAATTGTCATTTCTTCGGCGAACATTAATTATTTATTTTTCGTGCGATAAAAATATTTATTATTACTTTTGCATTTGTTAATAAAAGCATTCTGTGTAAAATAAACTGGTACTTTGTATATACTTATACGTGCTAATTTTAACAATTCTGTCAAATTTGTACGAAAAATCTTTGTTTTTTTTAATATAAAATAGATATAATTAACAAATGGATCAAATATAAATTCTTAAAAGATATTTGTTTCATTATTTGAAATGAATTATATATTTTTGTGCAATTAGATCCACTATACGGCTCAACAGATCTCTCAGACTCCTAAAAGATGTTTACTATGCCATAACATGTGTAAAATGTGTTGCCATTTTCTTCAATGATACGAATATTATACTATTATAATAAAGTCAAATTATTATAATAATAAATATAATAATATTAATATTATTTTTAATTAATAATTAACGAAATTATATTTACATTTTTTTTTTAAAGTAAAAATATTTTTACGATAATATTTACATTTAAGTGAAATGTATGATTTAAAATAAATATAAATTTTAATATAATTGAGCAAAAATATCATATATTTTATTTTAAAAATATTTGTAAAAATTTTGGAAACTGTATATTCTTTAGCTGGTAACACTATTACAATGCCGCAGTCTGAAGAGAGCAATGTAAGATGGCGTTTACAATATAAGAAGCCACTGATGATCCATAAATCATACCATTTATTGATTTATCGATCGACAACTTACTTCTATTAAAGATCGTTTAATTTAATTTGTAGAAAACAACTTTGAAATTTAAATTAAACATTATATCATGGTCACAACATAAATGTTAAATTAAACATTATACCATGGTCACACTATAAATGTTAAATTAAACATTATACCATGGTCACACTATAAATGTTAAATCATGTTCAAACATAAAATTAGCGTGATGGCATTTTTAAATATGACAAAGATGATTTCAAATAATCAATTTTCATTCGAAACAACTGTCAGTATAATATTAACAGGCAGAAAATCATTTTCGGTATATAATACCGATTGATACAGCAAGATCGCAATACGAATAGGCTTCTTTGGAATATTAATCAATAATTAGAATATTGAAAGTAATATATTTACACGGTTAATCTTTGTTGCACTATGTTTACCATAATTGATTATGCATGATCTCTCGCCTGCACTAATAGAAAATTGACACTAATCTAAGGGCCATATCTTGGCCTTAGATAAAGCATATCTTAAGCTTCTATTTTTTTTATTGCAGTGTAATTAACGTGGCCAATAATAAACCGTCAACCAAGTTTTAGTCGTCAATGTGCCGTCAACCAAGTTTTAGTCGCTTTTATTAACAATGACTTAAGTTTCTATTCACTGAAGCTTCTATTCTTCTAAAACAGGTTAATATAATCCTTTTGTTCGCATTATCGCAAAAAAGTGCTTTTGTGTGTTTGTTGTTTTATAGCTCGCCGACAAAGTAAACAATACACACGGCTGAATAATTTGTCAAAAATTTGAATTGTAATATCTTTGCTTTCACCTTTCTTTTATAATAGAAAAAAATCACATTAAACGAAACACAATGACAAACCACACACCGCAGGCTTATACTCTGTGAAATGTCAGGTAATATCGGTGAGACTTAAAGAGAATTCATCGTGGCCGGCGAATAGTTTGGAATATTTTGGTGGCACAAGAAAAAGGGTGTAATCGATTTGTGTCCTTGTGTAATCCTTTAGTGTCCTTTTGTGTAAGAAATTACCTTTGTAAAATTAACTTTAAGAATCCTTTTTTTGTTTGCTTAAATTGATTCTTTCGTTTTTCAAGAAAGATGGCCTTGAACGTGTTGGTATGTCAACGTTGTATCATATTTAGAATAAATAAAAGCGATCAGTGAAAGCGAAAGAGTCACATCAACTTGATTCATTGAGCGCGATTTCTCTTCGCGCAAGAATGCCCGAGGTCAAGAGATCTCGGGATCGATGGCAGGATGCATCTACTTCGCTTATTACGATCCCTTTTTACGAAAACGATTTGCCTCCGCGTACGCCAATATCCTGCGCCGAGTAGGGCGCATATTCTTCGGAAAGCGTATTCATCGCATCCTCAAGATCGTGCACAATTGTGAAACCTTCCATTACGCTCACAATGTTGTTGAAAGTACGTGTATTATTTTAATAACCACAGTGTGTGGATCTACGATGTTGAACGGTGTTTCCGGGTACCCGCATACGACGCTGTACGGCGATTACGTAGAAAGAATCGCTCTCGTGATCAAGTTTTACGCGCAATGATTGGTGCCATTATACGACTTTCTTTCAGGTATATCTATCTTCAATTCCCATTGCATTTCCGCGTCGTAAAGCATTATCGGTTGCTTTCCATCTCGCCGGAAGATTTTAATGCCGATGGAAAGCAGCTGACTAAAGACTCAGATATTTGCGCGATAAATTTAAAGATAGAAATTGCGAAAATAATACATCTTTCCTTTCAATTACATATATGAAATAATCTATCTCTATATACTTCCCGCAAATTTATTATATATTTTATTGATGACATATAAAATAATTAATTAAAATAAATTTAAATAATAATTTAAATAAATTTAAATAAAAAAGGAATTAAAATAAATTTCAATAATTAAACAAGCTACCAGAGTCCGAGCCAGTTAGAATTCAAAAATGTTTTTATTATAGACATAAATTACAAACGTTTCGACCTTTTTAATTTAGGTCATCCTCAGTGTAATTATTAACAATATAATTATTCTTCTATATCTAGCTTTCCATTTCGTAAAACATCGCACGCATTGGAATCTAATATTACTTATAAAAATTTCAAAAGTCGTACGCATTAAGTGTATGCATATCTTTAATCCGTTATCTTATAGCCAATTGTGAGTTTTTGATTTGTGCTGATAGTCTGTTCTTCGATTGTTATCTTCTGGACAAAAGAGAAAAAGGTCGAAACGTTTGTAACTTATCTCATGGATAATAACAACATTTTAAAGCAATTCTAACTGACTCGGGCTCTGGTGGCATGCTTAATTATTGAAATTATTGATTAATATAAAGAACCAAGATTAATTTTATTTATTTAATTATTTTAAAATAAATTTAGTACCATTAATCTCCCGCTTATCAAAGTTAGTGTATGTTATACGCACGTAGTGCGTATGACAAATATATTATCTAAACAAATAAGAACATTTTCCGCAACCCTTTCCAGAAAATAGCTTTTCCCCCCCACGATCGTTCTTATTGCGTCACGAAAACACCCCAAAGGGAACGATTTCAAGATTCTCTAGCGCAACCACATTCTCACGCTCGACCAGAACCGCGCTCCATCTTTCTCGTTTCGTGTCCAACTCATTTACGATCTGTATTACGCAGGTCTGTGAATAACAACGCGGCGTCGTGCGAAATTATTTCGCAACGGACAATTATCTGTCGCATAAGGACCGATTTTTGCGGCCGCTAACTTTTCTTCTCTACACGCTATTAAGAGCGCCACCGAGAAGCAGCGTGCTCCAGTTTCGCGGATAATTTACAGTGCATTTTACATGCTCTCTTCTCGCGAAGACTCCGGTGAGAAACGCGGCTATATTTAACGATGGCATTCACTTGGATGCGCGCGTTGCGCGATGCATGCCATTATTAACGCGCGCGCGTAGCAAGAGCCTACAATTAAATTTTCTCAATTTCCTCGACGTATTGTGTAAAGATATTAGAAAAAAGGACACACGCGCCATGCAGGTGATCAAATCGATTTAGGCGTGTGGCGGATCGCGTCGGTATCGCAGACGACCCTTGAGCGATCGGTCCGCGCACAGGATACGTTACTTCCTGCATTTGTATTCCCTGTTTCTGGTATATGGACAGT